TGGTAAACATAAAACAACGGACGGGGGAGCGACCGCGGATCGAGACGATACGGATGCTCTTTGATGTGCTGCCACCACCCGCGAGCCACCGTAGCAGCTCCTTTATGGCAGCCATCGGGCATCTGTCGTACCGGCGTCTTTCTCTCCGGCTAATTTATTAGCGCCGCTGAGAGAATGGGGCGCGGAGAAAGATCCGGCAGGGCAGCAGGCGCTAGTTCCGAGCAACGTCTCTTCGCGGTGGTATAAATCGGGAGACGGATCAGTCGGATACAGTGACGCCGGTTTTACGAGCATCGAAAATAGGGTGAGAGGAGGCGAGATCGCGAACGGCGGGAACACGGGAACGACGACGACGACGACGAAGCCGCAGCCGACGCAGCGTTTGCCTCTCGTTCTCTCGTCTCGATATCTAACTCGCTCGCACGTTTCACGCGATGAAAAGTTCCTCGGCGTCGAATGATTCGCTCCGAGAGAGAAGAGAGAGCGGATTGGAACGCTGCGCGGGAGCTCGTTGTCATCGGATATCCGAGGACACTGCGAGCCCCGACCAATCGGTGCCACCGATTAACTTTTAGTTTCGTCGAATAAGACATGTTACATATTTTTTATTTTTTTTTTTGGTTCTCTTATTTGGATTACTTCTGAATAAAAATAATTTCATACCTCTTGTTCGACGAATATAAAGTCGACCTTTGGACGTCGAACATTCGTTCGAATCTTTACGATTCATTTTTATTCGTGCATTATTGAAACCTCTTTGTCCGGGCCACGGTTAATCCTTTTATCGGCGTCGATATTGATAGCTGATAATTGCCGGACCGCGGATTTTCTTGCAAAATAAAAATTGTCTTCGTCGATTGCGAGAAACGTAGACCGAATATGTTTTTTCCTTCTTCGATGAAAATACCGAATCGCCATTTTTTAATTCTCCCAACGCGTATCTATTTAAATCGCAACTTTCCAATTTTGCCGCAAATGCAAGGCGGTCTAACAATACGACCGCCGCAAATATTCGAATTTAGACGGAACGTTTCTCTAACCGAGGATCGATTATGTCGGAGCACGAGCCGAAGGCACGGCAGCCGGCTTCTCCGCCATCCTGTGTGATCGGTGTCAGGCAGGAAAAGGAAGGCATCGTCGACGGAGTCGCGAAATGGCCGATACGCGGCGGCCAATTACTAACGGCCTGCGACGAGAAATTTCGCGGAATATTTATTTTCGCGGCCGGCATTCTCGCGGGAGCAGGCATCCGTCATGCTTACCGGAGTCGCGTATACTCGAATTCAAAAGGTACTCGAGAAATATCGGCGCGCGGGCAAGGAGGCTGAAACACGAAAGCGACGAGACTCGTCGGCAAAAGCGTCTCATTTATCTGCCGGCATACTGCTTTTGGCATATTTGCTCGTCGATGCGATATCGCGTGTAAATCATGGTCACCGGAAATAATGGTAGCCGATTAGAAAGCTGATTTCGATGTACCGCGCGCAACGCGGAAATCTCGGCTTCGAATCTTTCACGCATGGATAATTCGTTGCGCGTCGAAAGCCTGTTCACGGTTGTCGCCGGTCCGTCGCGATCACCCGTCGGATCGACGGGAACGTCCGGGCGGGTCGTCGATTTTTAAGAGAACGAATCGCGAGCAGCAGGGTCGTCGAGGGGCCCGGCCGCAGAGGCTGCGATCCGAGCATGTGCCGGTGCGGTTTTCGGCGTTGCGGGTTTTCCGGTGACCCGAAAGCTTGCGAGCGGAGGCTCCCGCCGCCTTTTTCCACAGGGGTTGAAGGATTTACGACGGTGGAGGAGAGCGAGCCTGCGGGACCCAAAAATGCGTCGGCATTGTTTGAGGTGAAAGTTTTGCGCAATGGGCGTAGGCTGGCACGGATCGGCCAAAGGTTTTTACCGGGATCGCCGGTGAAATTTCACTCTGCCCTGCGTGAAGCAGGTAACCTGCGATCGTGAGCCTGTGCACCGCGCGTGTCCTGCAGCGTCCTTTCCAGGACGATGCGAGCAGTCGTAAATTTTTTCCTCCGCAGCTAGCAGGCCGGCCGAGGCCGGCACGCCGGCTACTAAGTCCACGGGAAAAACGTGTTCTCAGTTTTGTCCGCTCAAGGTCTCGCCTTTTTAAAAAAACCAATGCTCACGGCCGCGTCGGGAACTTGGACTTGAACTCGGCCGCGGCCGGCTCTCGATCCCGTGATCGCAGTTTCGAACGGATTCGGACGCGAGCGAGATGGACGATGAACGATGTTTCCGCGCGACCGCGGGACTCGTCGCGAGCGCGCGATTTTTCATTTCGTCCTCTCGGTACCGGTTCTTCGACTGTACCGTACCGGAATGGAACCGCCGCTTACCAACCCCCGGAACATCGAATACGTATCGCGTGGCATCGGTGTAATCGGTATCGGAGCCGACGCGGTTCAACGTTGAATAAACGAGCCGCCGCGCGTCTGTCGGCGAATGGATCATTTCCGTCCGGTTATCCCGGTTTCGGCGGATCTAGCGCGGAGTCTCGCGGCGTCCGCGGACAAGACGATATAGTGCCGTGCCGGCTTTATAATTCCGGACCTCCGAAAATATCTGGTAGCGAAGACGAACGGCGGCCGTGTGGACGCGCGCGTGCGCGGGGCCGAAAGCACTTTTCCTGCTTTATGAATGGAGCGGTGGATCACGGAGTTACGGAGAAACGCGCACGGAACGGACGGTGGCCAACTCGGGAGAGATCCTCTCCTCCGATTCAGTCCCGTCGACGCGTTATTAGAATCGCCTTGCGGTGCCGCTATCGGATGGACGATTCGACGCCGCGCGTCGTGTCGCGTCGCGTCCGCGTCCGCGTCTCGTCTCCGCTCGGAGAACGCTGCGGCACTCGGAATGCCGTGGATACCGCGGAACAACGAGGTTGTCGATACTACTTCGACAAAGCACTCCGACAGCACTCCGCGTCTCGCGGATGACGGGGTCCGCAGGATCTCCGCACAGGCAGGCGACCATATTTTCTCCTTATCTTTTCGAGAATGTATCTGCCCGCCGCGCGACTAACTCGACGTCCGATCGAAAGGTGCGCCGGATCGCGTTGCAGCCGGGCTTGCTTTTTCGGATACCGGGGACGAGAAGATGCCCCTAAACTGCACCTGTTGCGCCAGCCTACGAATTTCCTGACAAATGCTCGACGCGTTAGTTTAACGCGCTTTCGGATCTGCGATCGTCTGGCGGACGGAGAGGAAAACGGACAAGCGAAGAGCGGGGCGGAACCGCGCGCGTCCCCGCCGACAAAAAAGAGCGAGACAAGGGATTTTCGTTTCCTTTCGAAATCGATCGATTCGAACGTCTAATCGATCCGAGGGAACGTACGCGCGATTACAAACCTGTCTTACGTGCGCGTTTCGATTCCCGGCGTGTTCGCGCGGAGTCGGACGTCGTCGATATTTTATCATGTATTTTTCAGAGACGACAGCAGCCGCCGTGCCAGCAATCTTTCTCCGGTAATATACCGTTGATTAACCTCCACGGAATAGCAATGGCAGCGCGAACGTAATTCTCGATAGACGGAAGATCGATTTGCACCGATTCGTACGCGCGCGCGTGTGTGTGTTTTTAGCGTGCGAGCGCGCGTGTGCGCGCGCTGGTTTCTCGGATCCTTTCACCGCGACATTGTAAATTAAGCGGAGAAATTAGCGCGCGATACGGTAATCGACTCTATCCGGCGCCAAATTTTGTTGTTCCACGAGTTATCGGCGGACACTTTCGCTGACGGCTTCATCGCGCGAGGCCCTGTGTCGCGCGTTTGCTCGAGCGGCTCGAACACCCGCTCGTCGAGTCGTGACACGAGTACGGAAGTATTTACATAGCTGGCTTCTTCCTCTCGCGATGAGCTCGTCACGAGACGTCGAAAACGCCGAAAGTATCGGGGAAACGGAGAATTCGTTCGCGCGACTTCACTTCGTGGAAAGGACGACGGAAGGTGCGGAGCTTGTCCGGAGGCTCGGACGCGTCTACCACCGCGGAAGCTGGCGAAAAACTGTGGCGTTTACGGCGCCGAAACTCCGTAGACTGCCGTTGGATTTATGTACGCGGCGAGCATCAGCGCGCGCGCGCGCACAACGAGATTTATCGGCGCTTGGCCGAGTTTCGGTAGGGCAAGTTGAGTGAATTGTAAATGTTTCCGGCAGAACTTCACCAAGATGGCGTCCTCCGCCAGGGGCGAGTTTGTTTACGCCTCATGGCTTCCCCACGTGGGAAAAGCAGCATGGCGCGCATCAACCTTTCAAACCCAGGGTTCCACCAGCCGTTTCACCGGCGTTCCACCACCGATATTTACAAATTTCTCGCGACCGATCCGATTCACCGCCGATCCTATCGCCGCAGTTACCTCGTGCACGCTTCTTTTTTTCACGTGCACACGGGCTCCGGAGACCAATGTCTCGACATTTTCCCCGCTTTCTAATCGCTCCGCTCGCTCCGTTACGACGAAAACGAATTCTTCGGACCTCGCCTCGGGGTCCGAACCGATCGGATCGGATCACGTTCTTCCGATACCCGGGAAACATCGAGCCGGTGCCACGGCGAACGACGTCGCCGCGCAAATGGAGCGATCAACGAGCCACGCTCGGCACGATCGCGTTCACGGAATCGTTGAAATTTCCGTGGACCAAGATGGAAATAGCGTCGGTCCCGATCGACGCGCAAGAGAGTTTAACGCGCGCGCGCTTCAAATATCTTTCGGCACTGCGAAAAATAACTTAATCCGTGCGCGAACGCGCGCGCGGAGTCGCGAGAGTGCTCGCGAGGATTTCTCGAGCGACGATGGACGTCGATGGGCAACGATGGAGCCTCGACGAGCGGACGACAACGTGCTCGCGTTTTCGTTTTCGTGTTTCGATCGGTGGTCGATCGGGGAAACACGATCGGTGGTCGAGGTGCGTAGCGAGCAGGTGTTGCAGCACGCCGATCGAGGATCGATCCTTGCCACGGCACGGCGTCGCGGAAACAATTGAAATTCGACTCACATTTCATACGTTGCGGAGCGTGCTGTTTCCTTCGGGGCATCTGCGTCCTGCGGAGGTGTTCGATTATCTGTGCGGGCTCCAGGTCTCTGCTCCTTAGACGCCGTCTCGGTTCGGTTCCCAAACATGTGACGGTGGTCCTTGAGAACGCTGCAGGAAGATCCCGGATAGATCTTCCGCGGCGGGGGGAAACGGCTCCGAGTTTCCCAGCACCGCGCACACAACAAAGTCACCCACTTGCACGTGTCCAAACGAGCACCGACTACCTCATCGCGAGTTCGCCGGATCCGTTTGTCGTCGGTCTTCCCAGGATCGGTGGCGACATCGTTATCGTCTCTCTGCTCGGAAGCAGCCGCACCTACATGGGTGCCGAGTGCCGGCCGAATTCGATGCAGCTGCGATCGCTAGAGGCGAACACCCGGTTACAACAGGCTGTTGTCTCGCGCGATCGTCGAAGAACGTCTCGCGATCTCCGGGATCGGCTTCGCCGAGAATCTGGTCGGCGTGCTGTCGGTGATATCCTTCGGTTCGTCGTCGTGATCCATGCGCGGTTTACGCCGACGATTACGGGGACAACCAAATTCACTCGGAACGATCACATCGGCGCTGTCGCTGGTCGCTCGGTCGCAGGTTTTCTCGATCGCCGCGGACTGCGACTCGTCGTCGAGCCGCGCGCTGTTCACTCTTTAACGATCGTCGCTCGGATCGGATATATGCCGCACCTACGAACGATCCAAGACAGAAGATCAACGGGACGAAGTGAAACGCGGCATTTCGTGGAGAACTCGTGGCGAGGCGCGTCGCGAGGGAAAAATTCCGGCACGTTCCAAATATGCAAGTTCGTTCCTCCGTCCGCACAACCCGAGACCCGAAGACCGGCACGATATATACGAATCGGAGCGTCGACACTGATTTCCGATGATCACTTGGCCAGGTATGCTGCGGGGATCGACGAGACTGGATCGCGGGCGCAACGCGATCACCTCGATGCTTTCTCTCTCTCTCTCTCTCTCGCTCTATTCCTCTCCCTTTCTCTCTCTTTCCGTGGATTTCGCGAGTACCGGGATCCGCGTCTACGGAGGAACGAGTCGCCGAATTCGTAGTATTCGAACCCCGCGACCTACGACCGTGGATCTCGTTGATCGCGCGAGAAGACGAGTTTTCGGCTGCAGGAACGCGTGCCTCGCGACGACGCCTTGCATCCACTCGAGACGCGCGCACGACACTCCGCCGTACGTGTACGGGGCTACCGAAAGCTCGTTGCGGAAAAGAAAATGAAAGAAACCAACAAACGGGGGGAGAAAGACGAGGAGAGACGTATCGCGCGCGACAGGGAGGGAAAACCGTGAGGAGCGAGAGAAAGAGAAAGAGGTACTACTGTGTGCCTCGTGGTGTACGTGTGCGAGTGTGGTGTGTTCGTGTGTGTGTGGCTCCGTGTCTATGCGTGTGAGGGAAAGAGCAAGATGAAACCAGCGAGGAATCGCGTTTACGCGCGTGTCTCCGGGTACGTATCGGGGATGCCGATTGAATGCGCAAGGGTGAACCACAGTCACAAATGAACAGAGGCCGGTATAGTCGAAGAAAAAAAATCGAGAGAGATAGAGAAGCGAGCACAGCCCGATAGACGGATAGATAGGAGGAACGCGAGAGAAAAGGAGATAGATTGTGTGCGCGAGAAGGAGAGAGCGAGCGAAGTTACTTGAAGAGGGAGAGAGAGAGAGAGAGAAAGAGAGAGAGAGAATGAGAGAGAGAGAGAGAGAGAAAGGGGGAGAGAGATAAAATGCAGGGGTAGAAGGCAAGAAACTCGAACAAGATAGAGAGAAAAGAAGCGAAGGTGGTGGAGGAGGCGGAGGTGGAAGTGGTGGCTACCGTCGTTCGTGGATCGCGAAATCGAGCGGGCGGCGGTCCAGCGCTGACTGACTACGGACTGGCGTCGCGGCGGCAGGCCGCATGGTGGGGGGCCCCAGGAGTAGTAGTCCTCTTTCCCTCTCGTCTCCGCCGCTCGTTCTCGTTTCCTCGCTTGCCCGCTCTTCCTTGCTCTCCTTTGCCTCTCCGCGCACTCGTTCCGTCTCTTTCGCAGTTTCTTCCTTCGCTGCGCGATTTGCGTTCGCGTGAACGTACCTGTGCCTTCTGCGAGAACCCAATCGGACGAGACGACGGGATGACGGGACGAGACGGGACGAGACGAGACGAGGCGACGCGATGCCGGTCCGCGAGAACGCGAACGAAAACGACGCCCTCGGAGAAAAGACGATCGCCGGTTCGTGGTAACGAGAGAACGGAGCGAACCGGATTCGGTCGGGCCCGTCGAAAAATCGGTCCCCGCGATCGTCGGTCGCCCCGAGTCATCCGGGATCGAGCGATCCACGGCGGCAACCCGCGACCGCGTTTTCCGCCGCGGAAGATCGCGCACGAATTTCGATCGTACGCGAGAAGCAGGAAACGCGAGATCGATCGGATGATCGGACATCCACGCGAGCAAAAGTTCCACGATGGGCCCGGGGGGACTGAAGTTGCGCTCGCGCGCGCAAGAGGTGGTCGAAAAAGGAGGCGGGGCCCTCAACCTCGTCGGCCCCGGTAAATCGCGCGGGAGGGGGGAATCCGAACGGCTCGGTGTTCGCGAAGTTTTCTTTTCGCCGCGAGAGGCGCTGCCGGCCGGCGGTCTCGTATCACCGTACTACGGCGACGCGGAGCATCACCTGCGAGTTTCTCGAGAATTTCGACCCACCGAGCCCGAGGACGCCCCCCGAACTGCGGTGAGTCTGCACCAACGACAACCATATTTAACGAGATAGCCACGGTATCGTTCTAATTCCGAACGTTCGAACGGCCGTCGAGATTCCACGCGTCGTCGAAAGCTAACCTCAAAATCCGTTGGGAAAACTTCGACACCGCGTGCGAACGTTTCGCCGGATTCTTTCGACGGAATTTTCGAAGGACGCGATCCTAACACCCTTATCGTTTCAATCGGCGACAGCGCCGACCCGTGCGAGATCGTTTCTCTTCGGGCCAACAGGTACTTACGAGTGCACGAGTTGCAGAATATTGCAAAATAACGGCGTAACCGTGGATTCTAAGCCGAAGCAGGCTCGTTTTAGGGAATTTGATTTTTTCACCGGGGCGAAACGAGTAGCCGCGCGCGCGCTGCGCCACGGCCGCGCTTCGGTCGAAGATTGCATATTCGATGACGTAGCTACGAGCTATCGTGTTCTCGATTTTATCCCGATGAAACAGAGTATGTAGTGGGGCAACGTTGGCCAACGATCTAGGAAAGAAACGGGGACGAGCGAGACGAGTCGTGCCGGTCGGGAACCCGGGATCTTCGTCCTGGATCATCGAGCGAGTGGGCGGGGTCCGCGGTCCTCGATTAGGGTGTTTTTGTCGCGGAGAAAACGGAAAGATTTGACGAAAAGAACCGACGAGAAACGCGGCGCGTCGAGGCAGCCGGAGCCGGATCGTTGCACGAAAGATCGTTGAATTCGTGGCAGTATCGGGGTTTCCCGAGCAAGTTTTCGATACGTCATGGTTCCGGGGACCGGCGTAACGCGCGGCGGACTGGTTTACGATAATTTCGGGCGAAGATTCGAGTTGGAAAAGAATCGGATGGAGGTCGAAGGATACGAGTCGGTCAGTTTGTGGATAGTCGGTGAGCGGATCTCGTTTTGGCGGGCACCGATGGTGGCGCTGGCAAGGCCGGCGGAACGGCGGGGAGAGGGGCACCGGCGTACCAACTACCAGGTTGTGCCCGCCTACCAGGCGGAGCCCGCATGATCTATAGCGTCATAGAACACCCCTGCCGTCGTGGTAGGAACGCGATGGCGACGCCCACGGTGTGGAACGTGCGCGCTGCCCCCGCCGCCGCCGTCGTCGTCGTCGCTGCCGATGCCGCCGCCACCGCCACCGCCGCCACTGTCGCCACCGCCGCCGTCACCACCACTGCCGGCATCGGGATGTTTATGCTTTTGCCGGTGCGTCTCTATCTAGTCGCGGCCCCGCCGCTGCGCTGTTCCTTTTCTGCCGTGGCTGCTACCGATGCTGCCACCGCCGCCGCCGCCGCCGCTGCCGCTGCCACTGCCACTGCCACTGCAACTGCAACTACTGCAACTGCCACTATAACCACCGCCATCGCCATCGCCATCGCCACGCTGCCATCGCCACGCTACCGTCGCTACCACCGCTACCGCCGCTACGGTCGTCGCCGATGCTGTCGTCGTTGTCGTTGTCGTTGGCGTTGGCGTTGGCGTTGGTATCGTGGTCGTCGTGGTGGCTCTCTTCTACTCCTCTGCCTCGTACTTATCCGGCTCTCCTACCACCTTGCGTTCATTACCGCTAAACATTCCTGTCAATTAAAACTGCACCGGCGCCCGATTTACTGCCAGCTCACCGTTCGTCCTTCGTGAGAACCATCCCCCGGGTGTACGTTTCGCAGTTCCGCTCTATACGATAGAGCAGGGAATCCAGCTTTCTCCGGCTACCTTTTTTTTCCTCCAAGTTTTCGTCGTCGTCGCCGTCGCCGCGCGGAAACCCATGGAATCCACGAAGAAGAAGCGACTCTCCGCGGCATCGTCGGCATCGCCGGTTCTGCAACGTCTCCGGTCGAATCGTCGATACCTCCGCACGAGATTCGTGTCGCGAAATCCACAGTGTGCCGTACGCATATACATACATGTATAGATGAGTCGGTTCTCGGGGCCGTGTCGGTGACTCACCGGATCCGGCGAGTCTGCTCGCTGCAACATCACGAAATTCTTTGGCCGATGGTCGTTCGTTATTTAAAATCGTAGACGTCGGCCAGGACGGACGGGCTCGCGACGCGAATACCGGTTGTCCTTTGATTTCTCGATCGGGGACGAGAGGCACTAACAGCCGCGAGAGGATCTCCGCGGAGGTGGGGAAACCGTGGCCGATGAAACACGCAGCCGCGTCAACGATCCGTTCGTAAATATTCGCAACGGCATCGGTAATGGCCAACGATCGGCAGAACGATACGCGATATTTCGAAGCGTTCCGCTTCGAATTTAGTAACGCGGTCTCTCTCTCTCTCTCTCTCTCTCTCTCTCTTTTTCTCTCTCGAGAACCGCGTCTCCTCCGCGAAGGAATTTTCTCGAGACACGCCGAGCATCCGCGACGATCGTCACGCTCGAGTTTTACGCCAATGGTGGCGGGGCTTCGGCGCGGCGGCGACTGTCATAAAGAGTATTTTATTTCGACGATTGCGGCGTCGTTTTTGTTCTGGGGTCGCGAAGCGATCGTGTCGTTTCTACGCGCGTCAGGCCAATTCAACGCCGGCGACATTCGCGGCCCGACGTTTACGAGATCGTTTATTAGGTGACGTTCCCATCGAGTGGTTTTACCGGTAGCTGGGATCCTTCTCCCCCCGGTTTCTCGAGACCGCGTTCAAGAAGATTCCAACTTATCGCGACGCGCCATCGGGAATCGTTCCACCTTGCAAAAGTTTAGGCAAAAACAGCCGCGCGGTCTTGCGGCCCGGAGAACTCCGTCGCGGGAAGATCCGTCGCGCGTAGTCGCGCACCCGCGCCGAAAGAGGCGTCGAACGACTCCTGGAAAGAGGCGTTTTCGATCGGCCGGATTCCACCGTCGTAGAGCCGCGACGCGCATTTTTTTCCGTCTCCGCGATCTCTCCTAATTTACTCGTCCCCGGTGAACTTTCGCGGCGAGACGACTCTCGCGGCTTCTTTTTCCGAGGGATCGGGCAACATCGGTAGAAACGGCGTATCCCGCAGCCGAAAAACGATTCGGTGCGCGCGTGGTTCGCGCCAGTTGCGTTTGCGTCTCTCGGTGACTGCGGGGGTTCCTTTTACGAGCGTTCCCGTCGTCGGTCGACGAGACCGGAGGCACTAAACTTGCGAATATTTCGAAAGATGTCCCGTTATGCAACGACAATGTGGGTCAGCGCACAAGTCCATTGTATACGTTTGCTCGTTTTGTACCGCTCAGCTCCCCGCGAGACCCGAAATAAGTGCGCCTCGTAAAATAAAGTGCTGCGCGTCGCTTTCCTCGGCCATCTATTGCGTCGGCACCATCGATCTCCCGGCGATTCCGCGACGATTTCCGCGAACTTCCCAAAATCACCATGCTCGTAGAAATCACCGAGCTCGTAGAAAATCGCGGACCCGGCCGCCGCGGGATCGTCCTGCGCCCGTCGAACGGCTTCGAAACGGTTCCTTTTTTTCTTCCAACTTCGCCTCGTCGGGCGAGCCGATCGTCGACACGGAACCGTCTTTCTCCGTGATCGAAGACTCGTCGTATCGACGGCTCGATTCGTTCCCGATTCGCGCCGGTCCGTGGACGAGGCCGAAATTCCGAGCCGAGCGGATCCGCTTGAGTTCTGTCGGAATGCGGGACACCGTGGAATCGTGCGCGTTCTTTTTCGCTTTTAGAACCGAGTCGCGGATAAACAAGACGGATCCCGCAAGACGGCCGCGGGGACGCGTCGTTCGGTCGTCGCGGAGGATGCTCGCACACGTAAACGCTTCGAAATAGATTCGGTATCGGCGTATCGGCGGTCGCATATCGGTTCGGCTGCCAGCAAAAAAGTCGCGCATACGAAACACGACGTCGAGCGACGAGCGGTCTCGTCGAATATTTGGTCGCCGCCTGGTTCGTTCCAACGAACGGTGGGGAAAAGGCCGTTGGGCGACCGAGGTTCGTTGATTTATAATATCGTTTGACCGATACCTGGGACGACGTTGCGGTGTGAACCGANTCTCTCTCTCTCTCTCTCTCTCTCTCTCTTTTTCTCTCTCGAGAACCGCGTCTCCTCCGCGAAGGAATTTTCTCGAGACACGCCGAGCATCCGCGACGATCGTCACGCTCGAGTTTTACGCCAATGGTGGCGGGGCTTCGGCGCGGCGGCGACTGTCATAAAGAGTATTTTATTTCGACGATTGCGGCGTNTCTCTCTCTCTCTCTCTCTCTCTCTCTCTTTTTCTCTCTCGAGAACCGCGTCTCCTCCGCGAAGGAATTTTCTCGAGACACGCCGAGCATCCGCGACGATCGTCACGCTCGAGTTTTACGCCAATGGTGGCGGGGCTTCGGCGCGGCGGCGACTGTCATAAAGAGTATTTTATTTCGACGATTGCGGCGTCGTTTTTGTTCTGGGGTCGCGAAGCGATCGTGTCGTTTCTACGCGCGTCAGGCCAATTCAACGCCGGCGACATTCGCGGCCCGACGTTTACGAGATCGTTTATTAGGTGACGTTCCCATCGAGTGGTTTTACCGGTAGCTGGGATCCTTCTCCCCCCGGTTTCTCGAGACCGCGTTCAAGAAGATTCCAACTTATCGCGACGCGCCATCGGGAATCGTTCCACCTTGCAAAAGTTTAGGCAAAAACAGCCGCGCGGTCTTGCGGCCCGGAGAACTCCGTCGCGGGAAGATCCGTCGCGCGTAGTCGCGCACCCGCGCCGAAAGAGGCGTCGAACGACTCCTGGAAAGAGGCGTTTTCGATCGGCCGGATTCCACCGTCGTAGAGCCGCGACGCGCATTTTTTTCCGTCTCCGCGATCTCTCCTAATTTACTCGTCCCCGGTGAACTTTCGCGGCGAGACGACTCTCGCGGCTTCTTTTTCCGAGGGATCGGGCAACATCGGTAGAAACGGCGTATCCCGCAGCCGAAAAACGATTCGGTGCGCGCGTGGTTCGCGCCAGTTGCGTTTGCGTCTCTCGGTGACTGCGGGGGTTCCTTTTACGAGCGTTCCCGTCGTCGGTCGACGAGACCGGAGGCACTAAACTTGCGA